GTGTGGCGGAGCTAACCGGGGAGCGGCTCGCGGTCCTGCGTGGCAGCCGCCCGCCTTTGGGGAGGTGGGCGGAGCTGCGTGGTGGTCGCCGCGCGGCGCTCCTTCGCCGGGCCTGCGGCTGAGTAGCGGGGCCGGAGCTCTTTTTGGGTGGGGGTTTTGGCCTCAGGGGTAAGCTGCTCCAAGAGGCCGGCCTCGTGGTGACGGGGCAAGGGTTAGCCGAGCTGGCTGGCCGTGCTGAAGTCGGAGTTGTTGCGTGTCAAGGTGTACGCCCTGGTAAAGGGAGGAAGAAATTGCTTGGAAGTGAGTTATATGACACAAAGAGGAAGAAAAGTGAGGGCTCTCTGGATACGGCGTGCCTATGGTTCAGGGAACAGATCTAATCATGAAAACATATATTTAAAAGTTCTGCTAAGCTCTGTTTATTTAATAGCAGATACAGTCAGTGCTGGGATCATGTATTTAACATCTGGTTTGCAAGTTACCCACTTTGCTGAAAGAAAAATTAAGTGGTGCAGCAGTGAGACACTGGAATGGGGCTGTTGCATATAATTTGGGAATATACCTTGAGGGCTTGTAGATAATGTAAATATAATAATCTATAATGCTGTAGTGACTAAAGGTTGGTGCTCTTTACCTGATGTGCTAACTGAAACTTGTCACTGATACTACAGCAACGAAAACACTCTTGCTCCTGAGAGCATTTTTTAAAGAATACTAAATCTTCCTGTCCTTCAATACCTGTTGAATTTAAGTCCAGGTATGTAATACTGTAGTGCAATAGAGTACTGTTTGCTGCAGGTACAGTCATATAAACTTAGAAGCTGTCCAATTATGTCTTGTAGGAAAGCAAGCTCTATGAAGGAGCAAGATACTTGGTCATGGCAAAGGCTGTTGAAGTTATCCTCCCTCTTTCTGTCTTTGATTTGTGTATTTCACCTATGTGAAGCTGCAGTACTCTTGAGAGTTGATAGTAGAAAAAGTGCTTATCTTCTCTTCAAAAATGTCTTCTTTTGAGTAGAAAAACATCTGCAAGTAACAAATCTTTAGAGATTGGAAACTATTATATTCAGTATATATGAGTGCAGATAATGTAACAGAGCAGCTTCTGTTCAGGGATATAAATTACTTCCCAAGGAATACTTAATCTTATTACCTATCTGATTTAGGATTTGACTAGCCTCTGTGGAAAAGATGACAAGTCAAAGGAGCTGTTTACAAGTTAAAAACTGGAAAAAGGTTTGAAATATTATAGTAGCAGCTCTATCTTGCCTAAAATACTCTGTGCTCTAGGTTAATGCATAATATGAAGATGTGGTTGGAGTTTGAATAACTCCTGGTAGGCAAGAGTTAATGACCTAAAGTTTGCATAGCCTGCCCTTGGCAACTGCCCATGCAGTCCTTCCTAGTACTTGAAGCAGAAGGTGGGGCCTCTAAGTCTGCAGCTGTCAAAAAGCACCTGGTCGTAACAGAAACCTGGAATGCTTAAAAAGGAATAAGTGTATTAACAGTGGCTGAGCTTGCATGATTGTAGAGCATATTAAGTACATACTCCAAAACACAAGCACTTAAATGCAAAATAGGGGTCAGTTCAGCTACAGCAAGGCTACTCTAGAAGTTTAGAAGAGGCTGTGATGGTCTAATCACTGATGTTTTTAACCTACTAAATGTTGAAGTATAATAGTGTTTTGTGTACCTTGCTCTCATCTGAATGCATGCCAACTCTTAATTAGTACCTGTTTTTTCTTCCACAAGGGAGCAAAAGCCAGTACAAATATGAATATTTTCAAAAAAGGTAGTCTGATTACACAATATCTGAAGAAAAAAGCACTTGCTTATAAAGAGTGGAATGTGATTGAATGGTTGTAGCTGTTATCTGACTTTATAGCTGAAATCTTGTCCAGGATGCTGAAGTGCTGTAGTTTTTTGTAGGATCAAGGTAAACTTAGCCTTTGACTGTTAAACATCTACTACTTTTGATATGAAAAAATGTGTGAGAAGGAAGAAGCGCTTATGGTATTGTTGAAGTGTTTTTTTAGTGGGTTAGATGCTTCTAATCTCCAAAACTTACATTTGAATGTCTTCAGGTGCCATATTAGTTGGGGACAATTTGGGCTTTATATTTAAAGAAACAGATTTAACTCTTAGAAGTGCTCTGTGCTTGCAATTCTCACTGGCTTCAGCTGGTATTGTGGATGCCCTTGAAACTTCAGGCAGAGTTAATGTATCATCTTCATTGAGACTTTTGTTTTGAAATAAAAGCAAAGCTGCAGAGCTTACTTCAGAAAGACATATGACTAAATCCTGTGCATACAATACTAGACAGGGGAAAAGGCTTACTGTTAAGAATTAGACTGTAGACTTTTCTTTCTAATTCTCTGTTTATGCAGACAGAATAACAGAACAGCAGAACATAGCATGCATATCCAGGAAGTGTAAATAAGGTCTGATTTGTTGTTTCCTTTTCCTACAGTTTCTTTGGAGAAGAAAAGCCTTATAATGGCAGGCAAAGGAAGTGATACAGACTGCATGTCATGCAGTGTTCTGAACTGGGAGCAGGTCAGCCGCTTGCATGAGGTTCTTACAGAGGTGGTTCCAATCCATGGACGAGGTAACTTCCCAACACTGAAGATAACTCTGGCAGACATTGTTCAGACTGTTCGGAGTAGGCTCTGTGAGGCAGGCATTGTGGTACATGATGTCCGTTTGAATGGCTCTGCAGCTGGTCATGTCCTAGTCAAGGATAATGGGCTGGGATGCAAGGACCTGGATCTCATTTTTCAAGTTTCTCTTCCAAGTGAGGCAGAGTTTCAGTTGGTTCGAGATGTGGTGTTGCGATCTCTCTTGAATTTCTTACCAGAAGGAGTAAGCAAGCTAAAAATCAGTCCAGTAACACTGAAGGAAGCGTATATCCAGAAGCTAGTAAAAGTGTGCACAGAGTCTGACCGCTGGAGCTTGATATCACTTTCTAACAAACATGGTAGAAATGTGGAGCTGAAGTTTGTAGACTGCATAAGAAGGCAGTTTGAGTTCAGTGTGGATTCCTTCCAGATCATACTGGATTCCCTGCTCTTCTACTATGACTGCTCAGAAAACCCCATGTCAGAGCATTTCCATCCAACTGTTATTGGGGAGAGTATGTATGGAGACTTTGAGGCAGCTTTTGATCACCTCCAGAACAAACTGATAGCTACCAAAAATCCTGAAGAGATCCGAGGTGGTGGGCTTCTAAAGTATAGTAATCTCTTGGTACGAGACTTCAGGCCCATGGATAAAGATGAGATCAAAACATTAGAGCGCTACATGTGCTCCCGGTTCTTCATCGACTTTCCAGATATCCTGGATCAGCAGCGCAAGCTAGAGACCTACCTCCAGAACCACTTCTCCAAAGAAGAGAGGAGCAAATATGACTACCTCATGATTCTACGCAGGGTGGTAAATGAGAGCACAGTGTGTCTCATGGGACATGAGCGAAGGCAGACTCTCAACTTGATTTCTCTGCTAGCACTCAAAGTATTGGCAGAACAAAACACCATCCCCAATGCCACTAATGTCACCTGTTATTACCAGCCAGCACCTTATGTTAGTGATGTAAACTTCAGCAACTACTATCTTGCAAATGTTCCTGTTCCATATAGCCAGTCCTACCCCACCTGGTTGCCTTGCAATTGAGCATCTCCCGTGAGAGTTCTTGAATGGAAGCTACTGAAAGTAAAGATGATGAATGTACATAGACAAGTAATAACTGCTACTGGGGTGGGGAGGTCTAATGGGAATATACAGCTTGCTTTGGACTGAATTTCCTGGTGTGTAGTAGAACTACACAACCAAGTAACTTTGTAAGAGCCTTTCAGTATGCCTCTGCAAATGCCAAGAAACTGTCTTGCCTCTTCATTGGGGAAAAGAGAACCACTAACTGAATGAGGAGCAGTTACAAAACTTGGTACTCATCCTGGAAACAGCTATAAAATGCTCTAAGTACAGCATAACATGAACAGTGTTAGTTAATAGAAGATAAACTAAAATGTCTTGTGCAGGAAAAGATGGCTCTCTGGAATAGTAAAAAACACTGCTCTGTTGCCTAACCTCTATTTTTATAACTTCTCAATCTAAGCTGTCCAACTTGCTGTTGAAAAAAATCATGTAAAAGTGAGTCAGCCTGTCATACCTGGGCTGTTTGTGCTTTTTCTGGTTGTATAGAACTAGTAACTGCACAGATGCTGCCTGTTGTTTAGGGGGCCTCAAGGTTATTTCCTGTAGTGCATGGGGATATATGGACCAGCCTCAAGTTCAAGATTATTTTCTTGGGAATTGAAGATGAATTAGCAAGTTTGCCTATAAAGCACACAAACTGACTCAAAGTAACTCTTCCTGGGTACAAAAACTTCTCAAAACATGTGCTACAACATGATCTATAATACTCACTAATGGGTTAAGTCCTTGAAACAAAGAATTGAAGCCTTAAATAAAATTGGAAGCACTGTTTGAAAGGTTAAGGTGGAAAAATAATACTAAGGACAGGCTCAAGATAAAGCCTTTGGCTGCTTTTTAAGACTACTGGCACAATTGGAACATAGTTCATCTCTTGCACAGACTGAACTTTCATTCTGACAGGTCCACATCATGTGTACTTGCCATGCTATAAGCTTCCAAAAGGGCCTCCCAGAATGAATTTATTCTTGTGCAACTTTAGGCAGGTCCTGATGGCTTGCCTCTCTCACTTAATGGTTAAGTTTACTGGTTTATCACTATCACTTTGTTCCTGTATGAAATGTTTTTTGAGGGTGAAGTCAACTTCTTCCCCTCAGGTGATCTTAATGCTCACCTGAAAAAGGTATAAAACCCTAAGCAGGGATCTCTACAGATGCAGTGTGTGGCAAAAGTCTACTCCCATTTTCTGAAGATCCTCTGAAAGTGTGTGTATTTTTTTTTTTTGAAGTATAGGTAGCTAACATCAAAGGATAGATGTCAAGCTTGCTGCTTTGGGATTTGTGCTATGTAAGGATGGTCAAAATTTTCCCAGGTCTCTATATAGCTATAATAGAAACTGGCTGGTATGTTAACCAAAATGGTTCCATTGAGTTGCAATAGTAAGTGATTGTTTCCTCTGCTTAACTGGAGAAACAGAACAGAAGAGCAGATTTTTAGAGTTACTTAATATGTACTGGTGTAATGCTTAACAATATTGATTTCCTAATCACTTTTTGGGGCTTGGCTTTTAGCTGTCTTTGTTAGCTTGTGAGGCTAAAGTAACAGAACAAACAAAATATTTAAACTTAAAGGTAAGGCAGAAAGTGAGTGGGAACACAATTTATAGTTGCTATTAGAAATGGAAAATAGCAGCAGTGTGGCATTTACCTGGCAAGCTTGAATGAGCACCTGTTTCTGGTAGGACCAAATAATTCTAGGGAGGTTGTGAATGCTTTCACTTCTCATAACTAATTCCTAAAGGAATTCCTAATTCCCTGCTTAAGTAGAACAGTGAAACTACTAATTTATTCAAATGTCATTTAGGCTAGAAAGGCAAGGGTATGATCTAGAAAAATGTAGCCAACTATGCTTTAGCTTAATTTTCTGAACAGTCTTGTAGTAGCTTCAGTAGCATATTAACTTGATGTCTTCTGACTTCTATGGAAGACTTCCTGTATTCAGTGATGCCAAAATACTTAAATTTGAAAGTAAACCAAGTCCCTTTAATGTGATCTGACTTGGTATAAGCTAGAGAAAAGGCACTTCTCATCTGCAAGTGACTCTTTGGAAGACTTTTTTAAAAAAAAAGCTGGTGGGCTGCCAGTGTTGCCAATGTGTGTGTCAATCTTGATGAAGCCCTACTGCTTAGATACAAACCTACACATGAATAGTTGCAGGTGATAACTGTTTAGTATAGAATATCATTAGAAAGGAAGGTGCTCTTTAGCTTAAGAGTTTGTTTTAATTATGACTTCTGAAACAGATATTTTCAAAGCTAAGCTAAGCTATGCCCCTTACAGATATAAGCCATTCCTTGGAGGAACAGTTGATTTGCCTATCAAATGGCTTAGATATGCCTCTGTCTTGTGAGATCTCATGGCTGATCATTAGAAAGTGGTTCTGTGTGTCAGCTTATGTGGAAGAAGTGATCAGATGGTTAAGGATTCTTCCGAAGCTTAAACTATATTTTTGCTGACCTTGTATGCCTTGTCTGCTGAACATCAGGTCAAATGTTTATATTGGAAAAGGAAGTGCTTAGAAGGCTCTCAGATTCCTACTGAGATAGCACTATGGAGAACTCAAGCTTTCTTCAGCTGCTAATACAATAGCTTCTGGTCCTGCTATTAATTTGTTGCTGAGGATGGAAACTTTGTTGAATGGTTGCTTTCTCTGGACAGCTGACTTTCTGGGTTTTCAACCCTGCAGGACTGCTTTTTTCTCTATCTTGCTCTTAGGTTACTCTAGTGTATTGGAATTATTGAGGCTTTTTATTCTGGATGATAAATATTAAAGTCTTGAATGGTTAAACTTTAGCTTGAAGTTATATATTACCTATTGTCTTGGCACTGACCCAGGAAGGATTGCTGGTACAATGTTCTGTATCACTGCCTTCAGAACAATTCTGGCCCAGCAGTTTAGTTAGGGCTGTCATACCAAGTGACTTTTTGTTCCTGTGTTGCCAACAGTTTGTCTTGGTAATATGATGTTGCAAGTGTCAATGGCTTATCTAATGTGTGCTAGCTGGTTTGAACTTATGGTGATCCCTTTAGCAGGGAGTAACATAAGAGAAAGTAGTAAGCCAGGTTAGAGCAATGACTCTGGTCAAACTGTAGGCTGCCTACTTGACTCAATCTCCCTTTACTGTTTAATGATATCTCTGCAAACCTGCTCTATGCCGTTGCCCATTTCAGTATCAAGAGGAGGTTAAAGAGGCTATTATATACTTCTGACTATCCTAATACATTCTAACTGGGCAGTGGCAGTAAGATCAGTACTTGAGTGCAAGTTTTGTATTAGTATATTTCTTGTGAGGACTAGGCTTCTAGTTAAGTAGACTGCATAGTTTAAAATAAAGTATTCCTGTAGCTGTTAAGTTCTACTGGTTTAAATTGGTTTGAGGTTAAGCAGCTGTTGACAATATTTATCATGACCCTTCCCCCTTTCAACTTAACTTGAGATGATCTCCCCACTGTAAGTGAAAATTTATTCCTCTAAGGTGCTTCTAAGGAGGCTAGTTAGTAGTAAACTAGGCTTTTAGCCATTTGATTAAAATCTCTATGCTGATTTATGATCATCTGAAAAGCTATATAGTAAAGTATGTTTATGTTCATTAGCTCAACTTGTGTTGCTGCTTTTGTTCTCAGCTTGTGCAGTCAATCACTAACCTGGAGGTTGAAGACTACCACTTGCTTTTGAGTAATCATTTTCCAAAAGCTCTTAATTGTATTTGAACATTAATATCTTGTCTACAAAACAGAAGCTAGTATTTAAGTCTATTTCAGATACCTAAAGCTTTTTATTGAAAGTTATATGCTAATTTTTGGGACTGAGTCTTGGAAGTAAGCATGTGGTATGTCTTGCACCTAGGCTTCATGGAATTCTGCTGATCACTAGAGTACCTACTTATGTTGCTTGTTATCTCTGCTTATCAATGTATACTATGAGTGCTTGGAAGGAGTCATCAGAGTACTTGGACATACTGCTTCAAATAAACTGTCAGTGTACTGAGGGTACTTGCTGAATATTCTCCCTAAATAACTCACTGAATCAGGGTGCCATAATTTTGGGGTACTGAATAAGCAATAAATTGGCAGTCATCACTGGCAAATCAGTCTGATCTAGGCATCAGGAGAGCCAAATGGCTAGTAACACTTCTGCTCTTGGCATCTAAGTCTTACTCAGCACTTATTAAGCAGTGAAGTGTATGTATTTAATGTGCTCTTTAATTTGAATAAAACAAGTTAAAGAGGAGGCTGGGTTGTAGAAGCTTCGGTGGTGGGGACAATGATTGCAATACTTCACTTTTTTTGGAAGAAAAACACTGAAGTGTCTAGTTTGGGCTTGTCTTTCTGATTAAAGCTGTACTTTGTGTTGAAGTTTAGAAATACTTTTTTATATTATCATTTTTTAACAATTAAAAAGTCAGCTACCTGAATCTATCTTGTACCTCTTCTGGAAAAAAAAAAAGTGTTTTTTTGTGTGTGTAGTGGTGTGGGTTTTTTTTTTTTTTAAATGCTGGCAGAACACTAACTAGAAGTATTTGAATTTGCAGTGAGCCCAAATGTGAGATTGGTCACAATGGCTTTTCTACTACTTTGCACTGTAGTGTTCCCCTGTCATTCTTAGAAACTGGGTTTTGGACCTTAATTCTGAAATTCTTGTACAAATAAAATTATGCTGGACACTACTTGCTTCAAGTTATTGGATTGACCTAGTGGTGACTAGGAATATCTGGAGTTTTTTGACCACTGTGTATAAATATACTAGAAAATATGAAAATGTGGTACTTCTGGGGTACACAGTAATATTTGGCTGGGGATATTACTCAGATTCTCTTCAAATGTACCCATTTGCTGCTTCACTGACTAGAAGTTAGTCAGCCAGGGGAGATGTGATCCATCTTTGATTATAGTAACAGTTTCTAGAGAGAGATTTGCCCTTGGAGTAGCTGATCTGAACCTGGCTTTAAAACAGACAGAGGAACATCCCTAGGCCTGTTAGACCAAAGTGTCTTAGGTGAGCTAGAGACTACCAGAAAGCTCTGTAATGA